TTATATACACGATGGTCATGATTGAATTATTTATAAAATTACATACTAAAGGCTTAAATTTGTTAAAATCAATTCAAATTTATTTTCATTTTTTTATTTGAACTTTACATCTCCTTAAAGCTTAAGATTGTCTGGATAAAACTTTTTTCAATAAATCAACTAATTTCTTTTTTTCAATTAAGGACAATGAAGTATGCTGTTTATTTTTTTATAAAGCTGATTCCTTAACTATAAATGCCCTAGTAAGGTCCTATCGAAATTTACACATTTTGTACATATCTGGCCTAAGTTAATTCCGTATAGACATAAGCCATGTTGAATCCTAATATGTACGTTTTGGAGTAACTTTGCTGTTTAAAGAACTATAAGGTCCTTCCGTACAAGGTTCAAGTTGTATTACCTCATTAAAAATACTTCTCAATCCTTCGATGCTGTCTACATTTCCTGACATAATTAGTTTATTTTTAACGAAAACTTTTACTTGTAAGTCAGAGTATATAACAATCTAAAAAGTAATACATGTATTTACTTACATGCGTTTTTATATAAAAAATTTTAACAAACTTTTCTAAATCAACCGCACCTGTTTTGTAAAATAAGGGATGTCGTCTCGTTTCAATAACTTTCCAGGTTCATGAAAAGTTATGAGATCTGGATCTGTTTGTTTAGAACATAACCATTTAGAGTTTACTTTCAAAGGCAAATCCCCTTTAAATAATTTCACGAAAACTTTATGCTTAGAAACGTTGGGAAGATCATGTGGCATGCTTCCATTTATGCTAGCCTCATGATTTGGTGATGCAGCACCATTTTCTAAAATTACTGTAAGAAGTATTGAAAAAATACTACTCTATTTCTGTGCATATTTTACAAAATATACATACCATTGCTTTCACTCATAGCTTTCATAACTCCTTCCCTTGTATCATCTGTTATGTCTGTTCTCAAATTGTTACAATTTTCTTTTTCAGAACTCAATGCGCTGTTATTTGAATCCAAACACTCAGCTGATCTCACATCGCTAATATGAATATTAGTTTCTTCACTGGAATTTGTATCATTTTCCAAGTGTTTGAATTGAAAGTCATCATCATCATCAATAACACTGAGTGACTTATCTGCTCTCACTAAAAATAATTTTACATTAAAATAACATGCTATAACATGAATGATGTAACTAACTGATATAATAACAATAAACTGTTGCATGGTAAGTTGTACAATGTAAAATCTGTTACATTATACCTGGTTCATTTTTTCCATTAACAGAAGCAACTGTTACCGTTGTTGGAGCTTTATATTTATTGAGATTAATAATTTTATTACCAAATATTGAAGGAATAACATTTTTATTTAAAGTTCTTCTGCTTAACTTCCTCTGAAAATGGCATTTTCCAAATTTAGCAGAAAGAAAGTGTTTTTAATAAACTAAATATTATGTACAAGTTACTGTGGAATAAGGGATTAAATGGTTACTTTACTTGAAAAATAACTTTTCCAGTTGCGTCTTTAATGATAGTTTCATCATGAATGTCTTTCTCAGTGAAATGTTTATCACAAATATAACTACTTTTTCGTAGGGCGACATCACAAGCCTTCAAAATAACTTTTCTCCACGATATAAACAGATTTTCGTCATATTTTGGTACACGAAATAATGTTGGGCCACCTCCACAGTCTTTTACACAACACTTTTTGCCCATTTTGATTAATTTATTTAATTTAATTAATTTAAAATAAATTAATCAAATTTCAATGCCATTTCACAATCACATTTATTTCTTTTGATTTTCCCTTTTAATTAACTTTCAAAGCATACAAGTATTTACATGCTCTGTTTTCGACTCCTACGCGACACCTGGTAGTTCTGAGGTCAAGAAAGTGGATGACAAATACTTAATTCCCAACAAGTCCAACAACCAACAACCCACAGACCACAGTCCCACACACACGAATTTCGTTCAACGTCCGCAATGGAAAGAGGACTGCGAATTGTGGATTGCGGATCCCCAAGACCCGGGACCGGACCCGGACCCGGACCTCCAACCTTAGAAGTTGGTGAATAGACTGAACAGACCTATTCAAATAAACGCTGAGGTCCAAGAGTAGTCAAAAATCTAAACCAGCCGCCACTATCTTCATCAGAATGTAAAATATTTAAAGAAGACCCGACATATTTTTTAAATATTTTTTTTGGTGCAGCGTTATGTGGTCATTATAGTCGTGCTATGTACACGATTGTATAAACCAGCCGAAACTTAGACCGTACACTATACCACAGTTATCTATGAGTGCCATTTGCGATAAAATTAAAATTTATCTTTCACCCAAAAATCAATCTCCAAAAATACAGATACTCTTATTTTATCTATAATCGTATCTACGTCGTGTTATCTATGATCTTAGATGAGTGTTATAAATAAGGTCAGCGTTAGATGAGTGTTGAAGAGTGGTGTGGAAATGACATTTTTCCACCTTTATTGAATCCAAGAGCTACCGGAACTTTGATTTTAGATAAGTATGTCGTTGTAAAAAAATCAACTGGCAAAGTTGTGGCTTGGTTTTGTTTTTTTGTAGGGGGTATGTTTTGTTGAAGGTCGATTTTCGGATACAAGATGCATTCTAATCTTGCTGCAAATGGCACTTTCAATCGACAACTTTTTATTTTCTGTCCATTGGTTTAAGTTGCGGCTGTTTTATTAAATAGACCATGTGGCACTTCTTAAATACCAACGAAACCCTTTTTAGAATGAAATATAACTAAAATATTTTGAATCTCCACGTATCATTATATTCATCAATTCTGATGGGAGAGGCGGCTGGTTAAGATTTTGACCACCCTCGGGCCTCAGCTCTTGGTCTAATGAGAGTAAAGTGGACATTTTGCTCTAAAATCCAAGAATTGAAAGTGTGTCAGATGTACACACAAGTAAGCATTTTTTTATATTCCATGCTTTGTACTTACTCATAATTTTAAAAAATTAATTAATTTACTGGANCTAAGCTGTTCATCAATTCGTGTAGGCTCACATAAAATGCTGCAGATATACTCGTTCCTGGATCAAAGATGCTCAGATCCAAGGAAGCACTTAGAGCCTGATGCAGAAGAACCATGAACATTAAAATGAAAACAAAGCCATCCAATTTGGTCAACCTACCCCAAGATTTCTTTGTATCACTGATCCGGAGGCTTCGCTCGGATGCTTTGCATACTCCGAAGCCGCGGAAATAAACGCCCTGACGTACTGGTGCTTCTCCATGGTTGATTAATCAACAAGTCCCGTCCACACAGAGGAATTTCGATCGAGTCAATAATTAATCAACAACGGCATATCATCCATCTAAGTAAAACACGTCGAGTCTTGTAGTGCGCCAGTAAACAAAACCTGTACGGACTTTCAGAGAGCCTGCTCCAACTTTCAAATTAACCACTCTTTATTTGCACGCGAGATCAGACACGAAGTGTATTTTGTTAACGCGACTAATGAAACTGTATATAAACAGGACAAATCAATCGAAGTTTAGCGATGAAATATAAAATAAAGGGAGAGTTAAAGAGGGTTCAATACTTTTTAATTCTACTCATCACACGCGGGACGGAGGGAAGTTGTCTTTCAAATCTCCACCAATGGCTGCTTTTCCCTTGAAAAGTCTAAGGGTGCCTGTACATGGGAAACCTGCAGTCTGGAGAATGCCAGTCAAAGCTTCGGCGGGCGATTCAATTCAAATTGATAGAGATCAATATTTTTTATTTTTTTTTCTTGCATTCTGTACAACAGACACCTTGTTTTCAATGAAACTAGACTCTGAAGTCGTATTTTGATTTTAGAAACTGATTTTAGTAAAAAGTTTTAAAAAATTTCGAGGCAGTATAACAAACGACTAGTCGGTAAACAGGGAAATTGCAGTAACAGGCTGCCAGCATAAACTAGTCATTTGTTATACTAACTCGAAATTTTTTACCAAAATCAATTTCTGACATCATAATGCGACTTCAGAGTCTAGTTTCATTGAAAACAAAGTGTCTGTTGTACGGAATGCAAGAAAAAAAAAATATTGATCTCTATCAATTTGAATTGAATCGCCCGTCGAAGCTTTGACTGGCATTCTCCAGACTGCAGGTTTCCCATGTACAGGCACCCTAAAGGTGCGATTACATGGAGGCGGAGCCGGATGGACGTCCCGCAAGTTCGGAAAAACGATACGTGGTTATTTTGATTTAAAATACGATAAGCTTGCCTTGCATGTTGTTATTATTATTTTTTTTTTTATTCATCTTAAACAGCTGAACGTATTTTTTTCAGCTCTTCTACAACCTTTTTAATTATTTCCTTCCAGACTTCAATATTTTTTTCATGGTATTTGAAATAATTAAAAAAAAATTAATACCAACATGCAAGGCGGGCTTTTTGTATTTCAAATCAAAACAACCGCGCATCTTTTTCCCGAACTTGTGGGACATCCATCCGATCCGCCTCCATGTAATCGCACCCTTAACAGTAAACGAACTGCCTGGATGCCCTGGATCATGAAAAGGGGCAACGTGACAAGGCCCTGATCGCATCCCAACCTCAAAATTTCTGTAACGACATGTAACTTGTACAAACGTGCAAATTTGGGTACCATATATATTTTTTAATCAAATTTTACGACTACGCTAGAGTTAGTGGTAGGGTAGCTTTATCAGGGCCTGATGTGGGACTGATTTGAGTTCTTAAAGGTACCACGGCATTAGGTTTAATTAGGTTTTATTAGTTTCAGAGCAGATTTCAGGTACGATTCAGGTTTATCTGATACACATTCACTCAACAATACACATGCTGAAATTGCTGACACTCATGTGATTTTGCGTGATTTCAGAATTCAAGTATCCAAGGATTCATCAAGGGGTCATTTTTTTACATTATAAAATACTGGGCCAACAATTATTTATTCATTCAAAATGTCAAATACCATTAGAAAAATGTAAACACTTTTTGGAAACTGTTGGCCAAGTCTCTTGAGATATAAACTTATGTGTTCAGAACATCAACGTGCAGTTAATGAGTAAACAAGAATTGATATCGCAACAACGTAAACTGAATCTCAGTTCATTACGTGTTATTTACTTACACAGAACAGTATCGTTAATGAATATACATTTTTTAGATGGAAAGGAAATTCTACATTGTTCAAGTCACAAATTTCAGTGATTTGAAGCGACCATTTATAGTTCCTGGTACTTTTATGTTGAAGGATAAAACAGGAGCGCATTACGTTTGCTACATGGCTCCTCCTTATTCGAAAGATAGCGCAGAAACTCTACGAGAGATTGTTCGCAATTATTCCAGCCCTGCATCTAGTTGGCCAATATACAGATGCCAAGTGTTAAATACAAAAGGTAACACATTTTCACAATCCCTTTTCAAGTTTAATAACCGTTTTCAATTTTAGCGACGTACGACGAAGCTTTACTTGAGTTGGACAAGATTAAAAGTGAAGATGTGGATAATGTTCATTATATCGAAAATACTAAAGTGCGTCGAAAGAGATTAGCAACAGGCTTTTTAAAACATGACACATCAAACATAGATGAAACCGAATCTCAATCCATGTATGATATGTTATCCATTCCAGAGCTGCCAATATCAGCTACCAATAGTAAGTTGTAACTTTTGCTGCCATAAGACCGTAATTGACGTTCATACTTTGTTAATAGCACCTTCTGACCATTATAATTTTTAAATGGCAATTAAATAATGTTGAGCTGTTACGCTATAAATACATAGAAATTTCTTACTTTCAATTACAGAAAATCAGGAAAGAGAGTATAGTTACAACAAACAAGGTGACAATCGCATTAAAAAAGTAAAAATTTATAAAGAAATATCAATTCAGACTGAAAGTAGTGAAACTCCAAATTGTCCCCTCACGAAAGAAGTTTTAGAAGGTATAAAATTCATACCTATAAATTAAAATTACGCTTTTTGTGATGAGTTCATGTACCAATCAAAATATTTACATTTCAGAAGTTTTAAAAAAAAATTTTGAAGAATTGAAAAATTATATTGACAGAAAGATAAGTCGTGAGATGGAAATTTTATATTTAAAAATCAAAGATAAAATGCTCAACATTGAAAAGAGACCTATATTAAATACCACGAATTTCATCACCTTTGATAGTTTCTCAAACAAATATTCTCAGCATGAATTTCCTTTAAAAACTGTGAATGAATACGATGACTTTTCAAAAGACTTGGAAAATGACGAAAGCAGCTTTAAAAGCGACTTAGTAAGTTTATTTGCCATTTTTTTATATTTGCACAGTAATTAAAAATGATATTTATTTTAAAATGATATTGCAGAAACAATATTTCTTGTCCACCATTAATTTTACCCTTGACGTAACTGACAACTTGAAGATCATTTTGAAAAAACTTTTATCAAAAGATGTCCTCAAAGATTTTACACCCCAAGTACAAAAAAGTGGCAAATCGGTTTTCAAGGAAACAAAACTTTACTGTTTACTTGAAGGTAAAGTAGTTTTACTTAACGCAACTTATTATTTTTGATAGCTTTACTAGTTGCAGCTTTTTTTTCTTTTCAGAATCACTCATAGAAATTTATAATGAAAACTTAACGAAGGATAAACACATAAATCAAAAAATCATATTGAAGTCTATAGGCACTATTTTTAATAATGCCAAAGACTGGGATGGGGGTCGAGCAGCTCGAGGGAAAAAAGATAAAGAAAAATCCAGTCAGGAACTTTTACTAAATGTGACAGAATAACAAGAGAACAGAGTGAAAAGTAAAATTATAAATGAAGGGTGAACGTGCTAAGTTAAAACAAAAAAAATGAACTAAGATTAGAGAGTGAATAGTTCATGGACCTACTTTAAGAGAGTTTAGAATTGTACATCATTTGATATCACCACAATTTGGTCATTGTACCAAAGGAAGATATCCATTTTTACTTGATTGGCACTGAATGAGAGCAATATGTACATAAGAGAGAATATTTTCTGCTGCCAATTTTCAAAAGTCTATCCAAGAATACTATTCTATGGAAGATCATGACAAGTAATGTGAAATGTCAAATATAAGTGTGTGTCCCCCCCCCTCTTGTGGTACAAGTAGGGTGTGTTTTGTGCTGTGTAACATCTGAAAATCATATTGTTAATGAACAATGTATAGAAAAGTTTTCCAAAGTACTCGTTACTCGTGTATGTTTTACAAAAAAGAATTGGAAATCGAAATTGCCAATGAATAGTGAGGGACCCCCTTAGTGAGGATCTCTGCTCTTACATATTTATTTAGTTACTCACAGTCACAACTAATTATCATTATAAGATATTTTTTATTACCTAGAGACAGCAAACTTAAAAATTTCAAACTTATGGAGCAAGGTTTGTATAAAAGAATCTAACCTTTAGTAATAAACCCTAAAATTTGTGACTGCAGAAGAGAATAAATGTTTTAACTTACACTTTTATGATACACTTTTTTTTCAAAACATTAATGTATTTAAGTTTTTCTTGATTTTCAAGTGTTAGGTAGCCTAATGCAAAAACTATTGTTTCAATTACATAGAGGCAAACTAGTATGTATAAACGTGCGAAAAATGATTGAAATGAGTTGTTGATAATCGTATTTTTTACTGTATATATGAAAAATATTAGATTTCTGGAATATTGAGCACTTTTATGCTGAGTAATTTTTCGTGTGTAAAAATAAGAATCGTAAGTGGTATTGTGTAAAGAAAAATTTTATTTAGAATTTTTGTCAATTTTTTCTACTGTTACTCCCAAATTATGTAATCCACTGGTATTGCAAATCATGATAGTAAACATAAAGGAGATAACGTATTTATGTAAAATCACAAATTTATTATAAATTGAAAATAGATCAATAAACTTTGATAAGAAAATTAATTTCTTTTGTACCATCTTTCTTTAATAACATTAATTTTAATAGTGCTGTTACACAATAACTAAAAAAAAAGAAATCAAAACCATGAATATTAAAAAGATGTAATTGCTGCTTATAATAGAGCAATGAATTTCATACATGGTTAGAAGTATAATACATTTTATTTTAGTAAGGATTCTCAATGGGTGGTTTATTTAACTTTCCATTTATTCATTTTTATTTTACTAGCATCCTCATGTAGGACTTTTATACAAAATATCAATACAAAGTATAGGGATAGAGCTTAGTAACAATTATACAGTAATATATATTTATACAACATTTGAATACTGCAGTGAATTTAAATTTTTTACTGTCAAAAGAGTAAAATAATTTATTTTGACAAATTTAACAAATAAAAAGGATAATGCAAACAATATAAACTTATAAGATAGTTTTGTAATTGTACGTTTTGAACGATAAATTGAAATAACGTTATTTAGTAGTATTGTCTAATAGAAATTGGATTAACTAATCCTCAGCGAATTCATCATCAATTCCGGAGCTTTGACGTCCCAAACGACTAGAAGGCCGTCGAGACTACTTGTACTAAACCTGGTCTTTGACAGTTTCCTGATGCAGGTAATGGTATTCTGGTGTATGCTATCCAGTGCACTGTCGTTGATCTCTGTCCTGGCTTGCCTATCCAACGATTGAAACTTTCTCATGGCAGTGAGACCGGCCGCCTCCTTCTTCTGGGTATTGTCGAGCTTAACTGCAAAGCTCAGCTTTCCAGACTCATCGAGCTTGTAGACCATGGGCATGCAGTCGTGGCCAGCAGCGACTATGTGATTGCTGTCGAGCCAGACGCACTGCAGGAAGGGCAGGTACTCGGTGAGCAGCCTCACAACCACGTTGGCCCTCAACGAGTCCGCAACGCAAATCGACGAGTTGTGGCCCACCCAGCAGAGCTTCGTGCCGTTGGGACAGAAGGCGACGTCGTGGACCCAGCCACCCCCGTTCACCGAGTTGGAGAACTCGACCAGAAGTGTTCCCAGACTCGAGCTGGCGCCCCAAGAGCTGTCGGAGTTGTCCTGGTCGATGTCCCGGACGTAGGCACTGAAGACCCGAGTCTTGTAGTCGGTCGATCCGGCGGCCAGGATCTTGTTGTTTGGGTGCCAGTCGATCGAGGTGACGGTGGAGCGCAGGGGCCTCTTTATGTGCTTGGACACCCACCAGTTGTTCTGGGAAGCGAAGTAGCAGACCGATATGATCCGGTCGCCAGAGCCAACGGCGAGCTTGTCCTCGTTGGGGGACCACTTGACGCAGGTTGCGGCTCTGTTGGTGCGCAGCAGGACCCAGGAAGGCGTCCACTTGCCGTCGTCGTTTTGCGTCCAGACGTACGCGTTCTTGTCGGCGGCGCAGGTGACTATGCGGTTGGTCTTTGGAGCCCAATCGATCCCCATTATCCGCTGGTCGTGCTCCTGCAGGATTTCGGTGAGCTTCCAGCCCCCGCTGGACGCGCCCTGCTTGAATACGTGGACCTCATTGTTGTTGGGGCAAACGGCAATTTCCCTGCGGTTGTCGTTCCACACGTGACAGGTGACCGCCTCCAGGCCGAGGTTGTACACGTCAGTCATGTTTTTGGCTCGCGATGGTCGCCGCCCCCCGGGGACAACGGACGGATCTACAGAGCTCTAGGTGCACGTACTTGTGCTTAATTTTATACGGGAGCTCCAAACAAAGCACGCACTATTTTTTTTCTGGCGGAGGATCCTGGATAATAATAATATAATTCTTTTGAAATATTTTTCGGAGACGACGGAGATTCAGCGAACTTTGCAATTTTGCATGACGGATGATTGCGATGACGCACCGAGGTGCCAACTGTGAGGTTAGATTAGATCCAAATGAATTGACTCGATCCTTTATTTATTTATTTATTCCTTCCTCACACATGATTCACTGTAGGTCCTGTACTTATAGAACCTATGACGTAGTGATAGTAGTGATCTCAATATTACTGTGGATATATTTATATTAGAGTGCTTATACTTAAGCTACAGACATCTCTGATAGATAAATCATCATATAATTATATGTCAGAGAATGTAGAATGTATATCTGTATATATGCGTATTTTATATTTCTCTGATAAATATACCTAAGAATTCAATCTCAATTACCATGTATATTTTATTTGAATAAAGTTATGATTATGACTCATAATAATTATGATTATAGTAATAGCAGTAACAATAATAAAAATAATAATAATAATAATATTAATAATAATAAAAATATTAAGAATAAAATGAGCTAACGGACAAGGCTTGATTACGGTAACGAAAATACTGTAGTGTATTTTTTTTCTGTCTCTTCTAGTCGTAATTTTGTATCTTTTAGGCAACAACGTGATGTTCACATCAAATTTGCAATCAATTTTAACGCAATAATGACCGACAGTTTTTTTCTAAAAATAAACTGATTAGATATATTTAGCACATGACCATTTCAAATTCTACAATTTTATTGCGCTTATTTATAGTTGAAGTTTGTAGCTAGAGAGCGCGCGTCGGTCCATACTGTCGGTATGGTAGTGCTACCACTTTTCTTCTTTCTGAAGTTGACGTGCTAAGTGTAGGTAGACAATTTTGCGATACTCTGTTTTTAATCCTTTTGTATCCCACAATTTTGTTTATTATACTCGAAATTGGCTTTACAAGAAGTTTGCTCATGCGTTGATTGTGTTAACGGCAGTTGTCGTTTTCTTTATTTTTTTTTTACAGTGCAAGTGTTTGATTCTTCGTTTGTTGTTTTGCAGGTTCGACTCCCGTCGCAATCTACGCTACGAATACACGATGGTGAGTTACTCTGTTGTTTATTTTGTATAATGTATGAAATGGTATTTTTTATGTATTGTCTCCATGTGAGCATATAAAACTTGTACTTAACGTTACAAATTGTTTTTGTTCAATACTTAACTTCTGTACATAACCTCAAATCTAATGTTGATCGGTTCATTACCCACTTTCTTATTCTTGGAAGATAAATTAATGTTTTTATTCTATTGTCCCACATATATACTTAGATGTAATTATTTGTAAACTTAGAAATGTGGTATAAATTCTAACGAGTGGATCATGTTGTGTTTTTCAGCCCAGAGAAATCAAGGAAATCAAGGACTTCCTCTTGAAGGCCCGGAGGAAAGATGCCAAATGTAAGCATGTGTATTTTTCTTTCTTAATGTGACATATATTTATCGTTTGTAAATTTCATTCACGAAACAAATATACTACGAAAATCCACAAATACAATTGCAACTTATTGTTCAATCTTACAACAATATTTCTTGTATGACTATGATTCACAGTTGCTTTTGTAACTGAAATTGATTTTAAAACCATTAAATATCTGTTAAACCATACGACATTCATTTATTATAGCTAACAAACTGTTTATACTATTTTAACTGGTTCACGACTGTCATTTTTACAAGCAATGTAGTATTGACTATTTCTTAAGCTACATTAGTTGATTTTACATTTTAGTTTTGTAATGTTTTAATTTCTTCCATATTACAGCGGTCAAAATAAAGAAAAATGCCGATAACGTAAAGTTCAAAGTTAGGTGCTCAAGGTTTTTGTATACACTTGTAATCACAGACAAGGAAAAGGCAGAGAAACTGAAGCAGTCCTTACCACCAGGTGAATAATATTTATAGATTAAACTTTTTTTTTTTTTTTCAATGGTGTTCTTATAACTGGTCTTTCATTTCAGGTCTTCAAGTTAAAGAAGTTAAGAGGAGTGAGCGTACGAATAAGTAAATGAATAAAATATTTATATTGTGAATAACTTGCTTTTTTATTTAAACTCTCCATATGTTTTGACCAAGTAATTATCCACTTAATTTCATAGGCACAATCTTTCTAGTAATTATTGTCAGCATTTTTTTTTTCTAACGAATCTTTGAATTAGGGAAACTAGTTTCAAGCAGTCAAGTTATCAAATGGTCATGAATTTGTTTTTAGTAAATAATATTCGATTTAATAAAAATTTAGTATTTTAACTTCAACAACATGAGGTTAAGTACACTTAATTTAGGCTTTTAATCATGACTTGAGACTAGTGCCAAGTAACTAGCCACAATTCCTCATCTAGAATATAAAAGGAAATTAATTTCGAAATATAGTGAAGCTACAGTGGACAATGGTTAGTATTTATTTCACGTAGCTTTTTTTGTTACAACATAAGTTTGAAGTATGGATAGAACTAAAAACTGATGAGAAAATTTTTGTTAACAAGTATAATATTAGCACTCGTAAAAATTTAAATTATCACACATTGAGTGAGATTCGTTACCATCAAAATATTTGAAGATTTCATGCTTTTTTGATAGATGATTAATGAAAGCCATTTCCCATCGTACATATTTATATTCCCAGTGTAACTAGTGTATGCGAGTTTTTGCACGTTCTTTTCTCATTTGACAACACTGTTGAAACAACGTTTATTATTTTTTCTGTTGTCAGTGGTGTAAATTAGCTTTAGGTAAGAACGTAATTCTTTGAAGAACTCATTTGCTTTTAATTATAGGTAGATTATAGGTGCCGGTACCTACCGATCAAATCGATCGGTACTCTTCGTTTTAATAAAAAATTAATAATAAAACAGTTGGATGGATAGTACAGTAACTACGTCAATAACATTTTGTAAAATACTTTTTATTCATAAATATGCAAATGACTTATACAAATAACATTACATGAGGGGTATTTCACAAACAGTGTACGTAAAAGCTATCTTGAAGGAAATTCATTGTTGAAAAATCTTTACAAGTGATCAGTGCCTATACTTTCACGAACATCGACACATCATCAGCTGGGTTTGCACAATGCACGCAGTACTTAGGTATTTAAAAATAACCAACGTAAACGGAAAAAAATCTGACGTATACTTTATCTTGGATAAAATACACATTTACGGGGGTACTGGATCATCCTTAAATAATATATTTACAGCAGTTCAAATATGTATATTCAGCTAACAAGAAGTTTACAGTGTTTGCCTTTATAAATATATTTTACATGCAGTCTCACGGTGCAGGTATTTACTTACAATAAAACATATTCGTGATCATCTCAAAACGTGGGAAAGAAAAAAATCTACGGAAAACGTAAATGCCATTAAACAGGCATACATAATCCGGTTTTTAAAAACTTTTATAATTTTCTTGCTTTTGCGTGTGTTACACTAATTAAAACAATGTACAGAGCTGAATATTACGTCTTGCGTTTGCTAATTTTTTTATTTGTATATGTATTGTTTCAATGAAAAATGGGTCGGTGACAAATACTTATTATCGATAACCGCGTGATAGTTATTTTACATTGCGATTTCTTTCGTGAATCGAAATCGAAGAGATCCTTGATGAGGAGTTTTCACGCATCCCAACAAACACTAACACACACAGTCACATTGTGCAGTTGAAACATAGTATAACGTGGCTTAACTGCTCGTTAAGTCTACCGCTTGTCTTTAATTCATACCGCTATAGCCTTTCGAGTTATCGGTTAAAAACGTTTGTACAGTCATTACATGTGTGTATAATCGTTTAATTCTATAGCAATGTAATAAACATAAGAACACACGGTACTCTCACACGCGCGGTTGATGTGTATAAACAAATTAGACGACGCTACAAGCGATTAAAATCTAAACGCATACAAAAACAGCAGAAACAACACTTTGAAGTCACTGCACTGACTCTCCTTTCGAGTTAAAAAAAAAAAAAGTCTCAACGAAATACCGCAACTTTACACAAGTATACTCTTAGTTGCTACGTGATAACTTACTTAAAGTAAAACACTCGGTTGTCACACCCCTATCTCGTAATATACAAACTTTCAAACCAAAGAACAATTCAGTTCAGGAAACGTCGTCGCTCTACACACCAATAGTAATTGGAGAGTGTACTTGCAAAGATCGGTATTTTTTTTTATTTCAACTTTGTAATATAACGTATTATGCGCGCAACGACATTGTTCTTCAATCGAAATTTCCATGACTAAGTTTGAAACTTCAATTGAACCGGAGCAGTCAAAAAAATACATGCATGTATGTATATGTAGGTACACACGCGAGTCACTCGTACCCGTTACACAGCGAGAGTCTCTCACGTGTCCCATGAACGCCGATCGCTCCTTTGGATTCACCGAAGAAAAAAACGAAGCACCGACACGTAAAAAAATATATGTACACAAAATGGTCGGAACTCACAAGCGTTCCCGAGACGAGCCTCCACACACTTACGCAACGATGGGAGAGGAAACAAAGAAAAAAAAAGAAAAAAAAAGAAAAAAACATCCCTTACACGCGTCGACAGTCTCTTATATCACAGTGACGGAGCCGTCCGCGCCCCCGGCAGTCTTTTTGATGTCGATCTGCTCGTCGCTGCAGACATTCGTCGTCGCCGTGGTTACTGACTGCTGCTGGTGCTGATTGTCGAGGACTAGAGTGACACTGTTGGCGCAAGACTTGGGCACGAGCAGCGAGTCCTGGCCGATTGGCGCCGCCGCCTCCACGAGGTTCACCACCGACGCCGCCGCCGCCTCCCCGCTGCGACCTGTCGCCCAACAATATAGCCGCTCTCGAGTCATACTTATCTCTCTTGTGCATACAATGCACGAGCCAACAAAATAATAATTGTATGTACGTACAGTGACCGGTGTCGTGGTGGTGGAAGCTGCGGCGCAAGGTGTGCTGGGTGCGCGTGGTGCCGCGGCGGATGCTGCTCCTCAATAGGTTGGCCACTTCAGCGGCGGTGAGGTTCGAGGAGGAGGATGAGGGAGGGTTGTGGTGGTGGGGCCTGCGGTCGACCGTGTAGTGGCCTCGATGGATGGCGTGGGCCTCGCGGCCGATCGTCGAGACGCCGGGCCGGCAGCTGGTGGTTCGGCATATCGTGCTGCTGGACCTGTGGTGTTGGTGGGCGAGTCGCGAGCTGGGCTCGGCGAAACTCGGGGGCAGGGTGTGCCTCGTGTCCGCCACGTCGGGTCGCACCTGGAAATCAAGAGATAGTGACATGGGGGAAGATGGTCAAAGTTTAATTAGCTTGCGATGGGTGCACATAATTTGCGAGTTGGAGGGAATCAGAGCTTTGAAGGTATAATAGCAGCAGTGCACCTTATTGCTTATTCTATTTTTTATGGTGACCCCAATCAGTTCTGGATACAGTTACAATACGTTTTTCGTCCCATTGCCCCATGATTCGTTGGCTTAAAAAGAAAAATAATTTGTATGACTTATTGATGGAAAGACCAAAAAAGACAAACCATCAGAGGGGAAAAATAAAGTTGTGTCTTATTGAGGCACTTGAAAAGAAAAGCAGTAACGAGGAATTTTTTCCATTAAAAAAAAAAATTGATTCAAGTAACTTGACGTGTGGCCGTTACCAAGGAAAGTGTTTAGACTACTTCTTGAATAAATATAGGCTGAAAAAAGAGGAGAGACAACAAAATCGTATACGTCATGTAACATTGTGCTGGAGAATATCTACTCGCTCTCAGTAAAACTTTACCCAATATTGTCGGGAACAAATGATCGGGTGTACTTGTTATACGGAAATCAATTTCGTTTCCGGAGAGATTTTAGTTACAATGAAAAATAAATGCAATCATAACAGTATAAAACCGCCAGTCTTGGCAATTTAAAAACGGGTGGTGGGGATGTTAAACTCTCCGATCGAAAGAAAAAGCAAGTGGCCTTCCACGAGGCTTAGAACGGAAGTTGGTGCAACATACCGTTGTCACTCTTATCGGAAAAGGCATTGATTTCCTAGTCAGTGTGACCCGATTTGGCATATGGAAACAACAACGAACTCGAGTGTCGAAACTTATTTTTCGTACCGAGGGCTCAAAATGCCATTTTGCGCCCGTAGACACTTTGGACCCTGGGCCCGGAATAGCTGTTCAAATTGCGTGTGTACTACCAACCGAGGAGAACCCGAGGATTACTAACACGAGATCAGAGCATTCTTTACTTCCGCTTGTGGTGTGTAAATAGCTATTACTTGTCCGCCTATGTGGGCGCCCAAGTCGTGGGGTAAAAAAATTGTACGATAACTTTATTGAGGCCGACGGGCCTGGGATCCTCGTGAAGACCGCCATCGAGAATCAAACCTATTTAGCTGCTGGTTACCCTGTATCGTACGTATGGGGTAAGAGTTTTCCAACCCCAACTCGATCGTCTTAGTGTCTTTGGCATTGACGTTTTTCATTGCATCTCAAAGACAGTGGGATCGACAGTTCCGTGATCCTCGTAAGGATTTAACCACGAGGAGTTTAACGTATACTTAATCATAAGTTTTGTATTTAATAAGCAAATAGTCATTTTGGAACGAAACCTTTTTCGGAAAGAATTTCACTGTAAAGGGGAGAGAGAGACTTTTATTCCCAAAAAGTCCAAAATGGCACTTTTGATATAACTTAAGTATAACAAAGTACATAAAACACCGCGACGCACCTCAGCCACGTGAACGGCCACGTCCCCGGACGACACGCTCTGGTTCATCTCGACGAGAACGGCCGCGTAGTCGGGCGGCGGGGGCTGCTGCTGGAGGGTGGGCCGCTGCCTGGGGCCGCTCCCACCCTCGCCCAGGACGTTGGCTATCCGCCTGACGCTCCGCCGGAAGCTCTGCCGGAGCATCTTGGCGATGCGGGCGCCGGTGGCGGTGGTGTAGCTCGGCGGCGGCGTGTACTTGGGCGGCGGGTCCTCGAACGGCAGTTCCGTGGTGCTCGACACGAGACCGTTGCCCTGGAGCCCCGGCACCCCGGCTGCCCCGCCCACCTGGGTCTGGATGCCGTGTTGCGCGTCGTCGGGGTCGAGCGGCGGACGGTACAGCAGCTGGATGCGCTGCGGGGAAAATTTAGGATGATGGGAAATATACCAGAGGTACAGCTATTCACTTAAAATAAGAAATGCGTGCAGATCTATGTACGTTGCAGTGGTGCTTTTCTACAATCATTACCCTCTACGTCTACTTAATTAAGTATCCATTGGTCCTCACGCCAAATGGTGAATCGTGTGTTTGGGTGAATTTTACATACAATCCGTCATAGGTGTGTCAATACCCGAAATAAGAAGCATTGTTTTTTTTTCTTTTTCATTTCCAACGAAGAACATGTTGCCTTTATGGTTTCACTAAAATCTGATGTATCGTTTTTTGCTACATAGATTCATTTTAAATGGTAAACACTAGTGTTGCTTCAAGAAAATACAAAAAAAATGATACATCATGTTTTTTGAAAGAAGATTTCCAAATAATGCTTTCTGTCAAACAAACCGTCCGTATCACGTGCAGTCAACTAGCTTGTTGATAAAAGCATGGCGGAAAGTTTATCGTGTTTTACAACATTAAGCAATCAGGATTGAGAAAAAACTAATGTGCGACGAGTGAACATATACAAGTAATTAATTATGTTACAAGGAGCACTTACACCATTGCAATGATTGCAGTGACTTACATTCACCTCCACCTGATCGTTCTGATTTTTTTTTTTTTTTTCACAAAAAAAGGACATGTTACAGTTAGTACTGTTAATTTTGTTATAACCACATCATTATATGAAAAACAAAGATAATTTAAAGATTTCTTAACAATTTTGTTCTTCCTACGGTTAGTATTTGAATTGTCAACATTTCAACATCCACGCAGTAATCAAAGGATGTATCGCTACCTACGCCGGAAGAAACGAAAATCGATTCACTTACGTCGAATATGTCGGGTGGTCCGGTGTTCAAGTAGCGGCAGGTCTGTATGAGCGCCACGACTGGTATTATCAGCAAAGGTATCAGCTGTATCGAAGCGCCGAGTTGACGCGCCCAAATGGCCCAGTAGTCCTTGCTGGTCCGCCGATACGTGAACAGGTCTCGGTAGCCGGCGCTCTTGAAGATCGTTATGCTAAGTATCTGGAATTCCGAAGAACAATTTAATAAAATTAATAAAGTCATTGGCAAAATTCATTCGTTTTCAATGGTTTCTCTCAAGAACGACTTTTCTAGAGCAGGTGATCCTAATCTTCGACCAACAGACTCAAGCCACTTTCTTTTTTCATTTCTCAAAATGTTTTTACGTACCCAATAGTGTATTAATAATAATAATAATAATATTTTAGTCAAAATTTTGCGGAATCATCCCTATAGCCGCATTTCGAGTTCAATGGCCCCCTTCCACTGGACCGATGGAAGCTCTTTTTTTTAAAATCAATTTTTTTCACCCTTTGGCTGGGTATAATTGTACGGCATTGCAGGATGTTGTAGAGCAACTCTCGATTAACAAAAACACGTTTGAAAAGTTGGTCTACGTTGGCCCAAAACTTTTTTTATGGCCATTTTTCGGAAGTACCTTTTTTCAGTTTTTTTAAAGTTTCTAAAATAGTATGACATCGATTTTGTAAAATTTTGTATGAGTATTGAGGTCTATAAAATACTAAAACTACCAGACCGATCGGAGCTCAGCAGATTCGTATTTTTATTACGCGTTTTTTATTTTATTACACTTAATTTGTCAAATGCATAGTTTTTCTGTAAATTGCAAAAAAGTGACTTTGCCGAATTTTACCATTTTTTAAAACCATCTTGCCCTGTTGGGATCGGCGTTCAAACTTAGTATGTTATTTGTATTGTTGTTGTCTCACAAAAAAAATTTTAAAAGTGAAGTTCGCAATTTCAGGTACCGGATTTTCTAACTTTTCCCGGCTACAAAACGAACCTTGTGGTATTTTTTAACCAATCACGCAAACAATAAGAAAGCTTTGGTCACGTGACGATCAGTCATTCGTAAAAGATTTGAGTTTTTTCGCATCTCTGATAAATACTTTTTTTCGAAAAGAGTTCAGCGAACTAACGAAAAACGCGATAAAAATAAAAGAAAGTGGAACAAGTGAACTAAAAAAAAATATGGAAGATGCGTGATTATCTATTAAGTTATCTTCGTTAATTTGTCGATTAGTCCACGTGTGATGGTTAATTTTTTTTTATCGAGTCTGATCCCCATCGCTCGCACACTAGCTTCCGAAGCGAGTAAAAACCCGATTTTAAAAAACCGTTTTTGAGATATCAAATTCAATCCAATACATTTTATGATAATACGGTTGTAGATAAACTCTAAGTGACCGCATACAAGGGCTCTAGAACCGTTTAAGTGATGTTAAAGTCATTTCTACAGTACCACAATTTTGCAAAAAATAAATATTTTTCCACAAAGGTTCATACATATGATTAAACTCCATTATTTCAGTCTCGAAACAACATGCCACGACAATTACAATTTCTATAATGTTAAGTAAATGCTAAAAAGCAGTATTCCACGATTAATTTCTTGCAATCATTATTGATGCATTTCAATCATTCAAAGCTTACTAAGCATTTTCATGATTATTACTATTTTTTTTTTTTTTTTTTTTTTTTTAAGTGATATGACTTGTAACAAACTCCTTATTACATACGTGGAAAAGAAGTTTTCGACGTGTCTGTTTTTGTTTTTTTATTCACATTTTAAAACGAAAAACAATTTCCTCCTGTTCCTGCCAAAAATGCCTGAAGCAGGAAATGGTACATTATGTCACTAAAGTACAAATTTAATATCCCAAGCAGAATGTTTTTGTGATTGAGTAACGAAAAAAAAAAAAAAA